CCCCACGGGTCAGGAGGAGGGACAGGGCATTCCAGAGGGTTTTGGTCTGCCTCTGGCATCAGCTTGGACTTAGGGAAGAGACAGAATGATCTGAAGTAGTTACCTGTGTAAAGTCTCTTCAGAACAGCCAGGATTGTTGCCTCCTCCTTTTCCCCTGTGGGACCACTGAAGGGCTCCTTCCCCTGGAAGCGACACAGGGCCTTCTGCGTAAGGCGGGCTGCGCTCCTGGACAGTGACATTGCCCAAGAGAAGAACATCAACAACAGGGCAGAGCACAAGGGAAACCATCCATCTTTGCCCTGAACACCTGGGAAAGCAGCTCCTGCCAGCGTCTTGTGCTGGGTGCCCATGTCAATCTCGTCTACAGAGTAACGTTACTGGAAATCATCCCTCTACCCTGGACTTCAAATCTTTCTTGAACAAAGAACGAGAGAATGACACATCCCTTGGGATAAACACTCTCTCGAACTACAGAACCTTCTTACTTGTAATTCAGCTTCCTCAGCAGCCCAGTGATTTGCTCTGATGTACTCTCCACTGTTTCCTCAACTTCCAGAATGTCCTCTTCCCCTTCCTGCAGTGGTTGAAAGAGCTGCTGTGTGGCAGCTCTAACTTCTGGCAGCATCGCTTCCCACTCTTCCTCTGGGGTGATCGCTGGAGCTATTAAAAAAAAAAAAAACCAACAGAGGGAATGAAGAATACAGAGACCCAAATGAGACCCTAAATGGTGAGAGAAACTCACCTGGAACTTAGGAATTTTACTTCCCCCCCCCCTCAATAAAATAGAACACAAGCACTGTAAGTGGAAGCTTAACTGTGAATTTCACATGAGCAGAATACACTGATAAGAAGACTATGGAGCAAATCAATCCATAATTTAATCACACTGAATGCAGTAGAAAACCCCAGGGGATTAGGTCTTTATCTTGCAGGTGTAACAAAAAAAAAAAAAAAAAAAAAAAGAAAAGGTAAGAGAGAATCATCATTTACTATTTATTGTTTTGTAGGCAGCACCAGGTCCAAGGCTAATCAAGTTTAAATTAATATCGGACCAAAATTATGGTGCAAGCACTCCTTGAATAGTTGAAAATGGAAACCTGGGAGGGTGTTCACAGGTATTTTCAGTTCTTACCCTGCAAATAGGATATTTAGCTAAATGGACTGTTGATCTAGATATGGACATTCATACTGTCCTTTTATAACACCACTGTATGAAAAACTGTTGCGAGTTTAATCCCAGTTGTCTGGCCTTGCCATCTCACACAAGTGAGATCCGAGACAAAAGCCACTGCAACCTGGGAGCAAATTTAAGATGAGGAAAAATAAGCCCTGGTACACCCTGGGAAGGGGAAAGAAGAAAAAGGGAAATTACCTGCTGTAGAACTGCCACGGTCCCTCATTTCTTGCAGCTTCTGCACCTCTTTCTTCAGTGGCTCGGCCAAGTCACTACAGCTTAACTGAAGATGCCAGAAAGAGAAGAAGAAATATGTTACTTATCCTCCTTTTTCTGAAATGCTAGAATTCTCCTTTGTCTTCCACTCCCTGCTTTAAGTTGTCAATCCCCTCAGATAACCGTGGTTTTGTAAACTGGAATAGTAGACTCTGGCCATCATCCTAGAATGGGAACTGCTGTAAATTGACAGTTATGAGCTCAGGAGAAGGTGCAGCTGAACACAAAGAGCTGCAGCTCTGTGCAGAATGTTCTAAAAGACTAACTCTGATTCTAAGTAAAGAAACCCCACAGTGGATTCAAATCAAACTGCTGCAGGTTTTTCCACAATCAAACACATCCCTTTCTTGCCTTCAGCATACCTACCAATTACACCAAGTGAGGGAAGAGCCAGAGAAAGCAAGATCTGAACCTAGGAAAACCAAAAAGCTCCCACCTGCAGAGCAAAAGGCTATGTTGTCCCTCCCACGAGGCTGCCCAAAGGCTGGTGCCCTGGCTAGAGCACAGCCAGATACTCAGCCTGCAAACAGACACCTAACATATCCATCATACTATTCAGAATTACCTTGCAGGAGAAGGGATTGTTGGACAAAAATGCAGCCAGGAGCTGGATTGCATTTTTAACTACTACCACGGATTTGTCTTTGAGACGCCCAACAGCCAGCGACACCACAGACTGAAACTGAGTCAAAGGCAGGGCCTAGCACACAATGAGAGCATAGAAAAAGTTATCAGTAAGGCCTAGAGACCCATGAGAAGTTATTTTACCGCAGACGTATTAATGTACTAAAAGGCACAGATTATAGATTTATAGAAAAGTCTAGGTCTCAAGGGACTTCTGGACATCATCTGGTCCAACATCTGTTGAAAGCAAGGACTTAGATCAGGTTATCCAGGGTCCTGTTGAGTCGATTCTTAGTATATCTAGCGAGGGTGGTGTTTTCCCATACCATTGTCCAAAAAGAGCTTGTGTACTGTGATCTTCCTTCTAGTCTATCCCAGTAATAAAGAGCAACATTTAATTTCTGTTCTCCAGTTCCCTCACCCCTAGGATCTTTGTTCTCTTGGGAAAAAGGAATTGCAGACACCACAGTACACAGGGATGAAACCTTTCTCTGTTAAATTTCAGTCTCTGCAAACAAAGACCAGGGTGACAGAAAATCCCTTAGAACACACAACAAGGGAAGGGATGACTGAGGCAATGCCATTTCTTCAGTACAGGCTCACCTTGCGCTGAACAATTTGAGTGAAAAGCTGCAGCACGCGGCTGCGCACAAAGCCATTGACATCACAGATGTGGGCCTGCAGCATATTCAGGAACTCGTCCCGAGTACCACGGGCAGCTTCCTCCAGCTGGTCACCATTCAGCACCTGCACCAGCACTTCTGCCATAGCTGCCAGAATGGCATTTCGCATCATATAACTCTGCAAAAAGAAGAGTTGTTGAACCAGGAACAGACAAAAAAAACCAAACAACCAACCCATGACTTGATATCCCAGGCTCCAGCCTTAAGTAAACTGCTCGATTACGGACTTTGTATTAACTTTGGGTGAACAAGGCTGTGCCCGCAAGACAGAGTAATCCAACCTTGCTACATAGCTAGGTCCACAGAACCCAAGAACTGATAGGAGAAACACTTAGGGCTTTTAAGAGCAGTTTAAGAAAGGGAAACACAACAACAAAATCATTAAGTACTGAAGAACAAGGGACAACAGCTGGGATCTCAGATCAGTAAGCAGTCTCCTATTCTCTGGTATCTTGGAGTAACCACCAGATGGTAGATGTCATGGTTTCTGTTTCCTTTGCATCTTTTAGGTAAAGGCAGAATCTATTTCAAAGGGCAGGTTTTGGCTACTTGACCTCAGTGAAAGAGGTTCTGTTTTCAGACAGAAAAACTGGATAGCAGCATCTCCACCACTTGACTTCTCCAGACAGGTAATATTGCGGAAATGTACCTCCTCATCCAAGTGATGCAGGAGGACGCTCATGTTGGAGAGCACCAGAGCTGGAATCTGTTCAGCCAGTTCAGTTATAAAGGTAGCATAACCCTTGATTCCAGAAGCATCACGGGCCAGATCCTGCGGACATTTCTGTCCGATTTCCCTGCACAGAAGGATGAAACAAAGAATAGTGTGCCTCAAGTTGCTAGGGATAGAAGGACAAGCCTCAGGGCATTTTTCTCACCTTAACAATTCACCCACCAGGGTTTTCAGACCATACTCTGTAGCCCAGAGACTCACAGCCTGTGCAAACACTGGGGCTACATGTTCAAAGTGCTGCAGCATCTGTGTGATCTTCAGAGTGGCACCTTTCGCACGTGAAGAAGAAAGAGGTCAGGGAAAGTAACTGGGAACAGCTTCAGGAAGAAGGCAGGAGAGCAGGAACTCACTGAACACGTGATCATAGTGCATCAGAGCTGCAGCAAGCAGATGTGTCACAGCCTCCCGTGTAGCCCGGTACTTCTGAAGACCGATACTTGGATTCTCCAGGATACGGTAGCAGCTTCCCGTCATTAAGCTAAAGCCACAGAAGAGAGGCAGTGAACATCACTATCACAACTTGCACCAACATCATTCTAGCACACTGCACTATGCAAACATTTCTCTCAAACCAGAGAGATTCTCCAGTACCCTTAAAAAAACCAAGCAAGCAACATCTGAAGTTCAGGGACCTACAGGAGGAAAGGAAGAGGTTCCCAAAGACATCGCTTTTGCCTCAAGACAGTTTCCCAGAGATCTGCACCCCTCTGAGGGCTGTAATACCACCTCACTGGCAGATTTAACATTTAACCTTCCCTTCCAGAGAGCCACTGTCACCCACCCCACCTCTACATCCACTCCATCCCATACCTGACAAACTCTTCTTCCACCACCAAACCACCCCAAAGCTGACGGAGATCCAGCTGCAGCAGCTGCGTGAGCAGCTGTAAGATTGGCTCCCTCTCCTCTTCCCACAAGGATCGAGAGACCTTGGTACGGCTCTTCTTGTTCTAGAAAGGAGATTACATTATCCAATACCTCTTGCCAGCATCACATTTAAATAAATCCCACTATAACATCTGACAGGTACCACAGAGTTCAGCAG